ATATATAAAATGACTCAAAAGAAGTGTAACATTTAGCATTTTAATTTTTAAAGACTTGAAAATGGGCTTGTGTCTCTTTAAAGCCTCTGACTGCTTCTAAAACTCCACCTTCAGGATGTCATCCCAACATGGCTCCTTTATTAAGCTTGACCTGGCACTGAGAAGTTCCACTGAGAAGTAGCTCCTATAAACAGCTCAGTAGATGCGCAGGTCCAGCAGATGTTTGCTAATAGCTCCTGGCTAGTCTGAAGGAGCTGAGTGGGGGGGAGTCCTGGGGGAGAGCGAATCTGAGGCAGAAGCTCACAAGCTATGAAATTGAAGAGCAGCTGCGCCTCGAAGGCGGGGCTAGGTCCACCCAGGCGTTTTGCACAGCTGAATGGTTGCCATGGAGATTAAAGGATTTCTCAAACATGCATGAAAGAATCAAAGCAACACTCCAGGATTGTTTTATATGGGAGAATGACGTTATAACATGATGTAAAGCTCATAAACAATTCTCTTTCAAAGTGTACTATTATTTGTTATTAAGGGAGTTAATACTAATAGATAAATAGATGACGAATCTCCTTTCGTCTTGTTTATCTCTTCTTATTAAACATATCGGTCCAGAAGCAATAACTTTAGATGTGGCCTAAATCACACAACGCCCTGTTTTTGAAGACATGGCTGGTGCTTGTGATATAATGAAAATAAGCAAAAGGTAAGTGCGTGACAGCACGAACGACAAATCAATAAAACTGGAGGAAAAGACATTACTAGGAGAAAATGAAGCAGAAAAATGTCTGTCAAACTTCAAGTGCAGGCAACCAATCACATCAGAGCAACACAGCTTAAATTTCCCTTCGATTTCCTGAGCAGGGCAGTCAGCGGGGATTGATTTGTGCTACCTACGTCCTCTGCCCCTTTGTATTTAATACACAGACACTCACAGTCCCAGAGACGGCATGTGCTTCCAGTCTGGTCTGTGTGGACGCCTGGCCATTAACAGTCTGTGGTATCATGTCCCCTGAATTCTCTTAATGTTCTGCTAATGCTCTCTAACAGCATTTAGTGGTAGACGAGATTGAAACATTGATTGTTGCCCCCGGATATGACTTGGACTTGTAGTATCTGTGTTGTCTGCAGAATGACAACATTGTGTGTGTGTGTGTGTGTGTGTGTGTGTGTGTGTGTGTGTGTGTTAGTGTTGTACATGAGCTGAGTGGGGCGGGTGGAAGGAAAGTTCCCCAGAGTACGGACATTATTCATGAGTCTGCTAAGAGCTTCGTCTCTTCTGGGGAACAAGGCGAGAGCAGTCTCTCTGTTTGGGGCGTGTAGGTGGGAAATGCTCATATTTTCTACTTGCCACTCTGATCGGTTAATCACTGCAGACGGTTTCGACGCATTCAAAGTTGGCGCAAATCTTCATTCAGGCCCAGCGAGCCTTAAGACACAGCTGATGAACGTCAAAGTCATTTATGTACAGCGTAATACATAAACAATCAACTGAAAATAAATTCAGACCAGTAAAAGAGTTATTTGATTGATTTGACCTCTTCTGACAGGAATCAAGGCAGCAGGTCTGTTTTCTGCAGTTTTCAGTTTAGTTCTGCTTTTGAGCCACAGGTTTTCAGTGCTGCACAAATAAAATACATTCACAAAAAGATGAAACACGACCCCTGCATCATTAATATTTCACCGTGTAGAAATAAAAAGCCGTTTGTGTTATTGAAGCGTCTGCCTCCAGACATATTGAGCTGAAGTTTTACTGCAGGCTGCTGAGTGACAGCCCCTGTAAAGTGTGGAAACCTTTTCAGTCCTGTTCGTGTTTCTGTGTTTTTCAGTGTGCAAGTTCAAAGCCCACAAACGCTGTGCCGTAAGAGCCACTAACAACTGCAAATGGACGACCTTGGCCTCTATAGGCAAGGACATCATTGAAGATGAGGATGGGGTGAGTTGGTTTGAAGCAACTTCTTACTAACTTTTAAATATAGAGCCATCACAAAGTATTTCACGTTTCTTTCATTTTACGAAGGCAACCTTCAATGCCGACCTGTTGTAAAAAGAATGTCTCGACAAGAGAAGCATTTATCCCATTCTGTAACGTGTGTGTGTGTGTATGTGTGTGTGTGCGTGTGTGTGTGTGTGTGTTAAACCTCCAGATTGCCATGCCTCATCAGTGGTTGGAGGGCAACCTGCCTGTCAGTGCCAAATGTGCCGTGTGTGATAAGACATGTGGCAGCGTGCTAAGGCTGCAGGACTGGCGCTGCCTCTGGTGCAAAGCCATGGTAAGGCATCTGTCACACCGTCATGCTGCACGCAGCGAGCATGCAGAGGAGACTGTGCGTCTGAAGGAACATGTTAGATTGGGCAGCGTGGGAACGTCCTAGCATGATTTTCATCTCAACCGTACGCTTGTCCTGAAGCGCAAACCACATCTGCAAATCACTGCGCACAATGACAAGCTGAAAAACGCAACAACACGTTAAAAAACACAAAATCAAGTTAAGAAAATGGGTCGACGTCAACAAAACGGAAGAGGTAGGTCTTAGTGGGAAACCTGAGACATTGTTGGCCAGCCTGCATGGGCCCCATGCGGGATATGGTCAGGTGTGCTGGCCGGGTGACTGGGCGACACCACCTTTATCTGTAGAACCAGATGTTATGCTGGCTTTAGGGCATTCACTGAAAATATAAATGTTACCGGCGATGCAAATGCAGCTACCGCTATATTTAGAGTCATTAGAAGCTCAGCTCTGTTGTTTTTCACAGTGTGGGAAATACGTAGCACTGTGGCTGCCTTCCTATCTGCCTAAACAGAGAAGAAGCGAATTCAGGAATAATTTCTGGTCCCAAAGCCAAAAGTGTTGTCGCCCAATCAGTGATCTCTCAGGTCTTCCCACTGAGCCTTACTTCGTGTGTTTGGTTAAAGCCGCTGTGTTTTCTGAATATGTGTAGTTTTGTTCAGTGATTAGTTGACGTAGCTCGGTTCCACCGTATATAACTCTATAGCTTGGAGGTTGTTTTAATATTTTCTGCTTACTGGAGCAAATATTTTTCAGCAAGTAATTTTTGTTCCAATAAAATTACAAATGCCCTAAATGAGTCATCTTTGGCATATCAACTACTCCTCTAATTGCAAGAGGAGTAGTTGCTGTCCGTTTTGTTGATTCTGTAGAATGTCAAACAATGTTTTTTTCTTTTATTTCTTCCTCTAGGTGCATACAGCCTGTATGGACCTGTACCCTCGCAAGTGTCCTCTGGGTCAATGCAAAGTCTCCATCATTCCCCCCACGGCGCTCAACAGCATCGATTCAGATGGTAGGCACCGACTGCGCACGCGGTAACCTGTACACTAACTCACTTTGAAAGGTCGGGGGTCAAAGTCTGACTCCACCTGTGAGGAACCGTTCACTCTCACTGGAGCTTTCACTTCATTTGATCTGCTGATCTCTTTTCTTTGACCTCTGACCTGCTGTTCTGTCCGGGAGTGATGTGGTGTGAGAGCAGGATTCGACTTGATTCGATAAACCCATCCACGACCTCTGTGGTCATTATTTGTCAATCTAAGAACAGGCTGGCTGTCATCATCTAATCGGTTATTTTTAATGAGCTTCCTGTTTGTGGTAAAAGACTTCTTGTGACTTTCTTTAAGCGATGGCTTTCTTTTTTGTTGGTTTGGTGGCTGGAGTGGACACAACGGGAGACTGGACAGTTCTGAAATAGATTTGAAAATGAGAGCATTACACTCACAAACAATAGGATACAGGAACTACTGAATACAAATGAACACTGCAATCTTTAGATTTCTATTTGACCATGCTCCACTGTCCTTCCCTTTATAATCACATTCTATTTTGTGTGTGTGTCCCTGTACGTAAAATCCAGCAGCCTCTCTGTTTCCCTGACCCTGAGGTGTCTGGACAGCCTGCCAGATCTCACTGTGAATCCATTCTAGTTCAGCACCTGCGAGACGAACCCTGATAAGCACGCTGGATTAGATTACTGTCTCCGAAGCAATCACACACGGGCCGCTGCGTCTGAAAAGCTGCCATCTTCTAAGTGGCGCCTGAATAATAGAAAAGTGGTGGGATTGAGCATCCAGATGAAGAGAGCAGGACAAGACAGCAGCAGAGGTGAAGCTACGACGACGATGCTCTCACCTCTCTGCGCTCGCGTGCCGAGGATCCCCGCTGCTTAAACGAAGGAGAGCGAAGGGGGCGCTCGGGTTTCAGTGTTGCCAGATTGTGCGGGTTTCCGCCCAGTTGGGCTGTGTTTGGACAGCTGTGGGCGGGTTGTTAATATTTGGGCTGCCTTTCACAACATTATGGCAAGTTTTTAGAAAAATTTCAGAGGAAACCTCTTTCACCGCAAAAAACACCAAACCTTACTGAGTATTTTGGTTCCTAGTGCAAATATCTTCATATCTTTGAAATAAGGCAAAACTAGCTTACTTTTTCATCAGTACTGAGGAATTATTGACTTAAAACAAGCTTCTATATGTTGCTGAAAAATTACTTGTAAGTTAGGTTTTGTCTTATTTCAAGTGTGCTAAGATATTTGCACTAGAAACCAGACCAAAAATACTTTGTAAGATTTTGTGTTTTTGCAGGTTTTTTGTAGAAACGCACAAGACTTTCCGTGTTATTGCACTTAACCTGAATGTGACGTCATCAGTGACTAGTCGTTTCTTCGTCATGTGTCTCTACGTAGCAGCATTAAAACAGAAATCCCAGGGCAACATCATGATTTAAAAGGAAATGTCTCTCAAGTCTCATTCCGTTCAAAGAGTCAAATCCTTTGCAGTTTCAATGGCATCTGGTTCTGTTCAGAACATAATAAAGGAAAACCAAAATTGTTGCAAATTGTCCAAATGTATATAACATTCCATTTTAGCTTTTTATTTCATAGTTCATGTAACAACCAAAAGAAATCATGAATGAAGAGGAACAGAAAGAGACATACATTTATAATATCTGCCCCATTTTCACATAAATGGGGCAGATAAAAAAGAGCTGCTTGAGACTGAAGACTTTTGTCATGTAGTTTTTGGTGGAAAAGAGAGAAAAGATTGAGCTTGTTTCATCATGCGATTAATTTCTTTCTTTCTTATTGCAACAAAACTACTTTTATGAACAAATTTCAAATACACAGAAAAACATCAGCCCATTTTTCAAATTTCTTTTAAATGCAGAAAGAGATTTTGATTGTTTTTTTGGGTGTTAGGATCCTTCCGTACACCAACACCTTTAATTGAATCGTCTCAGTGCTGAATGTACATTTTTTGAAAATGTCACATCCCTTTTAAGTTGTGTTTGCGTTCTCTCTTTACATTTTGGATATTGTTTGGAATATTATTGGGACTACATCAACATCACTTTCATTAGAGGTTGAGACACGCTGTTTTTTTGGAGTCTGATCTGGCAACCCTGTTGGTTTTATCTGGCTGAGGGAGTGTGATGCGTGTGTGCGTGTGTGTGTGTGTGTGTTGTTTGGGGAACGGAGGAGGGGGGACACGAGCTGCAGCACGTGCCGCAGCGCCGTGGCTCCCTGTCTCCGCTTCCTCTCTCTCCCCTACCACTCACCCTCTTCTTCCTCCATTCCTTAGCAACAGCACGACAGAGAAAGGGAGGCAGAAAGAAGGGGGGAAATCAAAGCGGAGCGCAGATGAAGACACTAAAGAGCAAAGACTGGGGGGAGGGTGTGAGGGGAGCTATAGTACGCAGAAGGCTGTCATCACCAAGGTTTTCCTTAAGGACCAGGGCGCCTTGCTGCTTTGCCTCCCACAGATCAGCCTATAGCACGTGTTCTTACCTCATGTCACCGTCACACACGGTTTTGATGAACGGTGGAGAGCGGGGTCGGATCCATGTGATAGACTCTACCTGCACCACTTTGCTCCCTCGTATTTATCACTCTTTCAAACAACACTTCGTCAGCCGGAAAGTCAGTTTATACAAAAGCGTCGGTAGGTGATTAAATAGAGAGGCTTTCTAAACTTCATGATACACAAAGGGAACCAGATTGAGATGCTTTAAATAGGCCGTCATAAAGAAACCCTCATCAAACCGCGCCGTTGTTTTCTTGCCGTTCTTGTTGCTGAACTGCCAAGGAGGAGCAGGTGGGAATGTTCAAACTGAAACGGTGGATTTCCTGCAGGCTTCTGGAAGGCCACCTGTCCCCCGTCGTGTGCCAGTCCCCTCCTGGTCTTCGTCAACTCGAAAAGCGGCGACAACCAGGGGGTGAAGTTCCTGCGACGCTTCAAGCAGCTTCTCAACCCGGCACAAGTCTTTGACCTGGTCAACGGGGGTCCACACCTCGGGTGAGGAGATGAACCCGGCGCTACTGCTTATGGGTTTGGGGTTTTTTTGTTAAGTGCCTTCAGATGACATTAGTTGTGAATTGGGGCCATGCAAATAAAGTTGAATTGACCTGAACTGGTTTTGTTTCTCCGTCAGCCTGCGTCTGTTCCAGAAGTTTGACAACTTTCGGATCCTGGTGTGTGGCGGCGACGGCAGCGTGGGATGGGTCCTGTCAGAGATAGACAAACTCAACCTCCACAAGCAGGTGATCCAGGGGACAGGAATGTGTGGCTGATGTGTTTGAACTTAGTCTTGTCTTAACACCCTTGAAGATTCTCACATTATAATCACATATTGCAATATATCTTAATCAAGGTTTTCAATCGCACAAAACAGTGAAGTTTAATGAAAATTATGGGGTTTTTTTTTACTCTTTAAAATCAGATATTTGGAAAGTGTTGTGTGCTTTAAAACTGCAGTATGTGACTTCTATAAAATATGGTTTTTTACATATTTGTTAAAATTGTCATTATGTTGTGACGGCATAAGAATTTGAAAAAATTCAAGCTTCTCCACCTCCTTCCTGAGATACCGGACAAAAACAACCAACCAGGGCCAGGAGGCGGGTCTTAGCGTTGTTAATCACCCTCCTGTATGCGCTGTTCGACGTGCTAATTGAGGAAAAACAACTTACCATTACAGAAAACAGTTTCCCCGCTGCCATTGGTGGCTATGCTACTAGCATTAACATTTATTGCAGGCTACGCTGTGATGCACCAGCTGTAGCAGCAGAGAGCAAAGCAGGAGGTTGTGAGCAGTTACACTAGGATGATTGACAGCGCTAAGAACCACCTTCTGGCTCTGATTGGTTGTTTTTGACAGGGAGAATTTCTGCAGATCACTGCAGCAGTACAGGAGGGAGGTGGAGGAGATTGATTACACACAGATTCATCTGTCTCATAACATAATGTCCCGTCGTGACAGTGCAAAACACAAGATTTATTTCAAAAGTTACATATTGCAGCTTTAAGTAGAAAACAGGAAGGCTGAATGGAGCAAAGCAACCTCGCTCTGTTTCATTCCTCCGACCTGTAACCATGTTGGATTTTTGGGAACCTCAATCTGTGAACTCCCAGCAGATGGTTTGTCTTTCCTGCTGGCCGACTTCCATAAAACACAGTCATGTAACCGGAGCAGCGACGTCACCGCGCCGCCCAGTAAACCCCTGTGCCTGCTGCCTTTCAGTGCCAGCTGGGGGTGTTGCCCCTCGGCACCGGCAACGATCTGGCCCGGGTGCTGGGCTGGGGCCCTTCGTGCGACGACGACACCCAGCTGCCCCAGATCCTGGAGAAGCTGGAGCGGGCCAGCACCAAGATGCTGGACCGCTGGAGCATCATGACCTACGAGATCAAGATCCCACCCAAACACAGCTACCCCACCACGCCCGAGGGAGCCGACGACTGCCAGGTAGACGGAACGACCAACACGCACACTCTGACACAGCAGGACCTCCAGACAGACCGGAGAGCGCCTGACTTATGTTTTTTTTTATTTTTTTTATGCTGCTTCACTTCAGCTGAGGTTCAGAACAGGAAGAAGAAGAAAAAGAAGAAAAACGATCCCTCTGCATCAAACTGACACCATTCATCTGTTTCTTTCTTTATGCAGTTTCACATTTCAGCGTATGAACACTCAGTGACCACTCACCTCACAAAGATCCTCAACTCAGAGCAGCACTCTGTGGTCATCTCCTCTGCCAAGTAAGTGCTCCACTGTAAGAAGTCAGCCTGTGAACTGGAGCCTTTAATTGGACTGAATGTCAACAGAAAATAAATTTTAAGAGCTGCTGCTGCATCAGTAAAACCAGGTCTGGAAAGCAAGTTATGGGGAGCACAAGTTTATTTTAACACTCGAAAAACAGTAAATTTTATCAAGTATTTCTGTCTAGCTTTTAGTGCAAATATCCTGGAATGAGACAAAACTTACTTGCAAGTAGCTTTTCAACAAGATATAGAAGCTTGATTTAAGAAAAATAATTCCTTAATATTGGTGAATAAGTAGTAGATTCATTGACAAATTATTTCATTTAAACAAGACAATATTCTCCCAGTGGAACTGGTACTTTTTCATCAGCATTAAGGAATTATTGTTTTAAATCGGTCTCCTATATCATTCTGAAACGTTATTTGTAAGTTTGTCTTATTTCGAGAATCCTGAGAGGCGTGCAGTGAAGAAAAATCCAACACAGGCTTATTTAAATAAAATTTGAGACAATTGGAAATTAAAAAACTGACTGAAAATACTTGGTAAGATTTTGTGTTTTTGCAGAGCAGCAGGCCAAATACAGTAGATTCGATTCTGACTGGGACATCTCTGGCGTTATTGCAGCGTCTGCATCTGAAAACAGCAAAGGAATGATGATTAATTTTCTTTTGTGTTTCTCAGGATTCTGTGCGAAACTGTGAAGGATTTTATTGCCAAAGTGGGGAAAGCGTATGAAAAAAGCACAGAGAACGTTGAGGAATGCGACTCCATGTCTCTCAAAGTAAGCAAAAACAAGAGAAAAGAATCACCATTTTCCTGTTTAATTTTCTTTAACTTGTCTTTTTTTTTTCTAACTGCCTCCCCCCTCCCATCAGTGTGCCATCCTGAACGAGAAGCTGGACTCCCTCCTGCAGACGCTGAACGCAGAGTGCCAGTCCCTGCCGCCGCTTCCCCACTGCACCCCTCCGATCGTGGAAGAAGAACAAGAGGAGGAAGAAGAGGAAGAGGAGGAGGAGGAGGAGGCCAGCGAGGAGAGCTTAACGGAGCTCAAGGGGAAGCTGGAGGAGGAGGAGACGGAGAAGGGGCGCGGGGGCAGCGGGCCCCCCCAGCAGCTGTTTAAAAGCCGGGAGCAGCTGATGCTCAGGGCCAACAGTCTGAAGAAAGCCGTCCGGCAAATCATAGACCAGGCTGTGAGAGGTGCACTTACTTTCTGACCTCTGATGACTTAGGATTCTGCGTGTTTGAAATATTGTTTTATTATTGGAGGCAAATGCTTATAAGAAAGCGCGAGCACCTGCAGCTAGCCCTGTCACCTTCACATAAACATAAACGATAAACTGCCCCAGCAGATATTGCGATAAACGATGATATTGTTGTTTTTGAGATGTAATAGTTCACACTGGACCTGGACAATATTTTAAATATGCTAAATAAAATACCTCAAACATAAACAAGAAATAAAATGAAAATAAAAAAAAATTTGGTTTCCATTGTACACTCTGGAAGAGTGTATTGGTGAATAAAATCCACACTAAATGAAATATTCAAAAACCCAAAATGTTATAAATCGATGATCAAATCAATGCCAGGACTGTCCTTGACTGATGATAAACCGCAAACGAGACTTCTTCCGTTTTTTTCCTCCCCAGCCAGTAAAAGAGGTGTGAATACTTTTGCGCTACGTCTATGTATTTTTTTATTATTATTATTATTGTTATTATTTTACGGGATGTTCAGCGCATCGTCTTCACTCCTCCGCTTTCTCTCTGCAGTGGTGGACGAGCAGAACGCCCACACGGATGACACGGAGCTTCCGTCGCCGCTGGAGTTCAGGAAGGACAGCGAGGACGAGAACAGGGACAGCGAGAAGGACGAGGACACCAAGGAACTGGAGGCGGTGTCGTGTGAGTGTTTACTCCTTCACTCTGGCCTCTGACCTGCCAGACGTCCAGGTTACACTCCGCCTGCAAACCTTCCACTGACCGACTCTGTAGATTAAAAAAAAAAACTTCACTTGTTGCTGAAAGGGAGTTTAAATGTCGCCACCTTGTGGATATTCCACTCATTGCAGCGTAGGGATCAGACACACGGCTCATGGAAAAATGTTCTGCTGACGCAAATCATGTTTCCTGTCATAAATAAACTCAGGGATTAGTGCTAAAAGTGAGCGCAGAGGAGCTTCCCTCCTGTGGTATTCCACCTCCTGCTTCAGGCTGAGCTGTTTATCTTCACATCTGCAGTTTTCCACAACAGCCTGTTGACACGGAGAAGTTCTCCGGTGATAAATGAGCCTACCTGACGGCAGGGCAGAGCTGCTGTTTGTAGCTGTCTTCCAAGTCCAGACAGGTTACCATGGAGACTCCCCTCCCCTGGACCGACCACAGGACGTTTCAACCTCTGCGGGGCAGAACGCCTTCCTGTTTATCCGAGTCCTGTTTCCTTTCTTCCTCACTTTTTTATTACAGTTAGTCGACATGCTGGTAGCACTCGAATGCTCAGCTTCTTGACTTTTCTGACCTGGAAGCACCAGAGTCTGAAAACACAAAGACGGTTTTAGGTGTTTAAGTTAGATAAATTATCCCTTTCATATCTTTATGTCTTATTTCTTACCTAACGTCTGTGGGTGTGTGATATGGGCTTTGAATTTTATCATGATATTCTGCAGTACTACTGCAGTAACAATTAAAATTAGTCTTAAAAAACATTCCTGTTTGAAACGGGCTTAAACATGCACCGCCTGCTTAAAGAAATGTGATTAATACAGAGACTTTATGTAATCATCTTTTCAAATTTACTGCTATTTATTGATGTTCTCATGGAAGAAAACAATATGAGAAAACTATAAATGTAACATGTTAGCTTTTTTTAAATGAGCTGAAATTTATCATGACATCAATAAATCAAACTTCTTATCATGACAAGAAATTAAAAAAGGAAAAAAGAAACGGAGTGTCACTTTTTTTATTTTTCCGACTGAAAAATCTCTAAGTTAGCCAGGCAGGATGAAGAAAAAACTGGGTGCAATTTATCAGTGCACACCTAGTAAAAGATATTTCCCAAAGTAACAAATTGTGCTCGATGTTAGCAGTTTTATAAAAACGATCAAGCTGAGCTCATTTTTGCTGCATTAGAAAACATCCAGTTCCAGCTGAAGAAAACAACACTGACCTTCTGAGAAACCAGCTTCAGCTTACATTTCCTTCTGATGCATTACAGTTGAAATCTTCTAAGTTGATTATTTGTGGAGCATGTTTTTCAGTCCGCAGAGACCCTGTCTCTGCGAGAGAAGGACGGGTTCAGTTTAGCGATAAGTTTTAAGGAGCAAAGCAGATAGATGCTCACACAGTGAGAACAGTCATAGAGGTGTAAATTGATCTTGTCCAAGAAGGATCTGCTATGAAGTAGGTCACTGTCAGCTGATAAGTATTACCTGTTTTTAGACTAATCGTAGTAAAAGTAGACATTACAGTTAGTCGTTTAGCTTTATAGGAATTAGCCTGTATTTGGAGGGTTTGTTTTATTCGGCTGCTTCATTAGCTGTTACCACAGTGCACAGCGTCAGTATTAGGTGAAACAGGTTATATTTTACACGGTGTGTCGTTTTGAACCCCAGGAACCATTCAGTTCAGTCGAGAAAAGACTGAAGCGTTCCCTGTGTGCTTCTGTGTGTGTTCAGCCGCCAGGAGCCCCTGTTCCCCGACAGAGAGCAGGGTGAGCCGCAGCACCCAGTCGTACGGCCCCTTCACCATCACCCCCTTCACCACCAGCAAGGAGAACCTCCCCGTGCTCAACACACGCATCATCTGCCCTGGTAAACACACACACACACACACACACACACACCTCAACCTGTTGCACCAAAAAGTCCCCGCTCCGTCAGAAGCCGCAGCCCGGTGCCGTTTCCTGACGGATGCTTTGTGTTTGTGTGCAGGGCTGCGAGCCGGGCTGGCCGCCTCCATCGCCGGAAGCTCCATCATTAGCAAGATGCTGCTGGCTAACATCGACCCGTTTGGCGCGACACCCTTCATCGACCCCGACCTCGACTCGCTGTGAGAGCTGAACTACCTCCACTTTCACTTCTGTTTGTCGTTCGCACGTCTGGTTGCTCTCTGAAGTCGCGTTTCCATGACAAACGTGCGCAAATCTTTGTCTATATTCCGCTAATGAACGTCCTTTCGTAATTGCGGGGTTTCTAGCTTGTTCACGTGATAAGACATTAAAAATTATGACAGAGAAATTATGCGATATAATCATGATTTATCCATGGTGCTGGCGCTCATCATCTATCAGCCAATCAGTGGAGACGTTTAATTTTCTTCAGGCATTGGAGTGACAAGCCCCACCTACTTGGGAGCGGCGCTTTGGGGAAATTGTTGTCGGCCATTTTACAGAAGAGCTATGAATTCAATATGTTAGAATGACACAACTTTTTATGAGCTGTGATGCTGTGAGAGCTCTGGTGGAGCCAGCAGCAACAAACCATCATCTTCCTTCCACTTCCTGTCGTCTCCTTTGTTGTTTCTGCCAGTAGTAACATCCATCTGTTCATTACATGACCCTTGTGAAGTGAAAAAAATGTTTTGTGAAATACATCTATTTCGATACAAGTAAAAAAAAAAAAAACTTACCGAAAACATCAGTTTTCCCCAAAATTGCTGTTTCCATTAAGCGAATAGATTTTCATTACTTGTGCAATGTTATGGCTAATGGAAACATAGCCAGTCTCCGTCTTGCTCACAGACACTTCTTTGTCTCCTTGTGAAGCAGAGAGGGCTACATGGAGAAGTGCGTCATGAACAACTACTTTGGCATCGGCCTGGACGCCAAGATCTCTCTGGAGTTCAACAACAAGAGAGAGGAGCATCCAGAGAAATGCAGGTGAGGCGCCGGGCCAGGCGACACATCGATGTTAGTGATTAATCAAAGTTTTGGGTTTTGAAGATTTCATTCATGGAAAATCTGGATGTTTTTTCAAACAACGCCCTGTTTGACATTTGATATCTGAGAGTGATGTCAGCATGCCCAAGGCTGCCATCTTGTTTTACAAACGTTTTTTACAGGACTTTGGACTCAGCTCAATTCTATGACACAGTATAAGAGTGAGGCCACAAATGTTTATTTTCATTTTCATGAAGTTACAAGAATACAGTGAGAGTGAGGTAATAAAGTCATATGACAATGAAATCAAACTAATACGAGAATAGAGTCTTAATATTACCAGAACAAAGTTGTAATATTTGGACAATGAATCATTCCAGTATGAAAAACAACATTTACAACATATACAAAAAAGTATTCGCACTTTTTTCTCAGTAAAGCAATTTTATTCTCATTCTTCTGGTAAAATGTCTTCTTTCTCCGGCTAATATTATGACTATCTTCTTGTAATTATGCTGAAATAAAAGTCACTTTTTAAAAATATTTTTTCTCATTTGTAAATTTGTTTTTTTTTTTCCGGCTAACCCTGTGGTCTGTTATTTCTGCGGTTCTTTTTCCTGACAGACTAATTTAAATACAAATGTTTTTCCTTGGCCTTATCAATAAAACGACTAATGCGCCATCCACACCTCCCCAACCCAGGAGTCGTACGAAGAACATGATGTGGTATGGCGTTCTGGGCACCAAAGAGCTGCTGCAAAGAACCTACAAGAACCTGGAACAAAAAGTGCAGCTGGAGGTGAGGAACCGATGGTGTTTCAAAATGGTTATTGGAAAGTGATGGACGTTGAACCCCAGCATTAGCTGTCATCTGCTGTCACACGACTTGGCGTGTTGTACGTCAGGCTGCCATCGTCCGGCGTTCAGCGTACCGCACATGTTGACTTTATCAGTGCAAACGAAGCATCTGCATGCCACACAATAAAATGAAGTCATTTTGTTTTAATGTCATTCCTGCAACATTTGAGTGTCCTTTGGGTAAATCTCCTCCAGTACCACACTAATTCGGCATGTGGGTTGTAAAATCGCACAAAGAGTTCATGGAGTGACGCTGCGGAAGCGACCTGAAGCCGAGCTTTACTTTGCCCTGGTGTCTTCCAGTGTGACGGTCAGTACATCCCCCTGCCCAGCCTGCAGGGGATCGCAGTGTTGAACATCCCCAGCTACGCAGGCGGAACCAACTTCTGGGGCGGCACCAAGGAAGACGATGTGAGTACATTCACAATAAAAACCACTCTGTTTTTCCTCCTCTGCCAGCCAATGAATGCCGGCGCAGACGGACGCTGGTTTGACACGACCCTGACGTCCTGCAGGCCGGATTGCTACGTGGGCTGGTTTGTTAAACTCTCAAAGAACAATGGCTGCCTGAGGATTAAAGTGTCAGCTTTCGCAAATTTAGGTTATGACCTATCAACACTTCGTAGGTGAACTGATTTACCTACTACTTGTAGGTAAATCAGTTTTTCCAGTGTGTTTGCAGTGCATAAATGATCCATCTAAGGTGCCTGAATAAAAATGCACACCTGTAGTTGCAGCCATCTTAAAAAAACCAAAGTACTTCATCTCTGCAGATTGATTTTGTATTTTTGCTGAGAAACATCTTCAAATGTAACAGAAGCATCTCTCACGTTGTACTGTGATGCTGTGCAGATCTTCTGTGCTCCGTCATTTGACGATAAGATCCTGGAGGTGGTGGCTGTGTTCGGGAGCATGCAGATGGCCGTATCCAGAGTCATCAAGCTGCAACATCACCGCATAGCCCAGGTGAGCAGCAACACGGACGGCAGCAAGGACGACAGTCAACGTCTTCCCAGCTAACCCGCATCTCTGTCTGAATCAGTGTCGAACGGTGAAGATCACCATCCTGGGAGACGAGGGCGTTCCCATCCAGGTGGACGGTGAGGCTTGGATCCAGCCGCCAGGAGTCATCAAGATCCAGCACAAGAACAGAGCGCAGATGCTCACCAGAGACCGGGTGAGGGAGAAACGCTGGGCTGGGGGATGTGGAGGAGAGGGAGATAGGACGACACGGCTTAAAAATAAAATCTCCTGGGGGTTTTTTCGGTTTTAATCTTTTTTTTTTTTTTTTTTTTGTCATTTATTTTCTCAAAACGAAATTAAAAGTGACAGAAAATATTTTTAAAAAGTGGATTTTATACTGCAAAAACAGAGAATTTCACTAAGTATTTTTTGTTTAGTCTCTTGGGCAAATATCTTATCACACTTGACGTAAGACAAAACTAACGTACAAGTAACTTTTCTGCGAGATATAGGATCTTGTTTTAACTCAATAATTCCTTGATATTCATGATAAAGTACTAGTTCCACTGGCACATTGTTATATAAGAGAAATAATCTGCCAGTGGAACTAGTACTTTTTATCAATATTAAGGAATTATTGACTTAAAACAATCTCCTATTTCCTGCTGAAAAATTACTAATGAATTAGTTTTGTCTTATTTCAGACCTGCTAAGAGCTTATTCTTGTAAGGTTATTTTATTTATATAGCACATTTTCAGCAACTTGCAATTTGCATTACTTCAATTTTATTATCATGACTTTGTTCTTGTAACATTATGAACTTAGCCTGACTCTTATATTTTGTCATGACCTGAAAGTCCAAATCAATATAAACGGTAAAAAAAAAAAAACTTGTAAAGCAAAATGACCACCCTGGTCTTGCTGACATCACTCTGAACTATGGGAACCCAAGGAGTGCTTTGATGAAAAAAGAAAATCCATATTTCCCAAAACTTTAATCTTCAAAAACCAAAAGTTTATTTAATGCTAGTATTGGTTTTATTGCAGCTGTAACTTATCCTGAACTTTCTCAAACTGTTTCCTGCAGGCGTTTGAGAACACGCTGAAGTCATGGGAGGACAAACTGAAGTACGACAAGCCCCCCCTGCGGCCTCACCTCTACCCGCAGCAGTCTGTGGATCTGGCCACAGAGGAGGAGAACGCCCTGATACAGATGTGCGCCCGGGCGGCCGAAGAGCTCATCACAAGGTAGGAACGCTTGATCCAGAACGTCGGGTCCGAATCCATTAGCCCTGGCTGCAGTCCTGTAAGCGTTCTCTCCATGTGGCCGCAGGATATGCGAAGCCGCAAAAACCAACGGGCTTTTGGAGCAGGAGCTGGCTCACGCCGTTAACGCCGCGTCTCACGCCATCAACAAAATGCACCCCAAGTTCCCAGAGGTCAGCAGCTAACACAGCACATTACTACAGTCTGTTTAAAGCACCACATTTAAAGCTGCACTATGTACATTTTACTAAAAATATTTTTTTTTACGTATTTGTAAAAAAGACAGAAAATGTTACTCAGTATTTTTGTCTAGTTTCCAGTAACTTTTCAGCAAAATATAGGAGCTTGTTTTGAATCAATAATCCCTTAAGGTTGATAAAAAAAATAATACCAGTTCCACTGGCAGATTATTTAACTTGCAACAGGAAGCATGTCTTGTTGCTTGTGTTCAGGATGTTTCATGAGCCGCTCATCGCGTGACGTGAGCCTCACTACCGGTTGTGTTCCTTCTCCAGAGTCTGACGAGGAACACTGCTATCGAGGTGGCGAGCACCGTCAAGGCGCTCCACAACGAGACCGAGTCTCTTCTGTTGGGACGAGTCTCTCTGGTTAGTTCTGGAATTGATTCTCTTCTATATATATTTTATTTTTTTATTATTATTATTTTTTTAATGAGTTGACTTTTCCTGCTTCTGGCAGCAACTGGACCCGCCTGAGGAGGAGCAGCTGTCCAGTGCTTTGCAGAGCCTGGATGTTGAACTGGGCAAACTGGGAGAAATCCCCTGGCTGTACCACATACTGCAGCCCAACGATGAGGAGGTAAGCAGCCTCTTTCAGCAGCTCCTGCTTCTCACGGCAGAGACGGGTCTGCTCATGTACACAGATGTGAACAAAAGACGATGTAACAAACAGAGTAGGGAAGTAGGTGAACCCTTTGCCTAAAAATTAACCATTTCAATCCATACGCAACATGTAAATCCAAACAGAAATTGAAGTTTATCTCACTCTTTAGATATAGAGGTCAAAATATAAGTGGTAGAAACTGTTCTTATGTTGCAAAAACAGCCAGCCTCCTCTTAAAATCTGAAAATATATATCTGTAGAGGAGATAAAAAAAAAATATTTATCAGCAAAGACTGATTCTAGAGCCATTAAAAGCATGTTTTAGGTTTTTTTTTAAAAGCTATTTTATGCTTTTATGTTTTCACTGTTAAAAATGAGCCTTTTATTGAAACTAGTTTGAGTGGAAAAAAAGAAACATACAAAAAAAACATGGAACTGGCCTCTTTCCATTCATGCCAGCAGGTGGCGTAGCCTACATATACGCTTGAAGTACTTATTGTAGCAAAAGAAATGCACTAAACCTTAAAAGCTTCACTGTGTAAATCCTGTTAACAACTTCAGAGCAATTTTTTCCATTATTGCTTAACTTAAGCTGGATTTGTTCACCATAAGATTTAGTTGCGTTAGAAATCGTTTTTTAACAGGTGATATATATATGTATATATATGTGTGTGTGTGTGTGTGTGTGTGTGTGTGTCAACCTTTTATCCGGCTGAAGTTACTGTAACTTCGTAGCTCAGGGATCCATCTTAACCCAGTTAGTGTGAGCCTGGTCCTTAAGTCTTGCTCAGTGTCAGTCTGACACCTTGAGGTAACAGCGACACATTACAACCCGGTTCTAATGAAAACAGAACCAAACAGTCAGACTGTGAACTCTTTATAGTTGAGCTTATTTTAGCTAATCGTTGCCTAAAATAAGCTAAAGTAATTGATTGCTCTATTCATTATTCTGGCAGGTAATATGTGAGAAAAATGGCATGTTCTGCAAATTTTTATTTTGACCACTTAAGCCTATTTTACACAACATATATTTAAAAATGTGCAAAACAAATAAGTCAATTCCTTTTTAAGAAAGAAAATAAACATTTTATTTCCTAAGATGCAATCACAGCGTTCCTTTAGTGAACACTTAGCCATTTATAACAAAGAATTCATCTGACAACTGGCTTTTCTGTGTCTATATAAATTAGTTGATTATCAATTCATCAATCGATTAATCATTTCAGCCCCCAGTATTGTTTACATTTGTGTCCAGCAATAACAACTGGAAAGCTCGAAAACTGCTGGACATCCCTAACATTTAGTTTTTCTCTAAAACTGATGCACCTTTGCAGGTTATTTTGCTTTGAAAACGCAACGTTTCAGCTTTGACTTTCTGATTAGTGCAAGCCACTCCCTTCATAAATCACAAGATAGGTAGCTGTTATTTAAAAAAAAAAGAAAAAAACTTCTTTGTCAAAATGGCCACATTTGGTTGATCATGTTTGATTTTCCAAAAGCAATAAGAAAATAAGACATCAAAGTGGCGTGAATACTTTTTATAGTCACCAGCTGCGTTTCCATTGACCAAATAATTGCGGCGATTGGACTTAAGAAAACAAACACGGCAATTTCAAAAAGGCTCCATTTTATTGATAAAACGCTTTTGCACTAGGATGAGGCGGCTTTTCAGCTGTATCAAAATTAGTATGTTTCGTAAAACTGCAATGGCAACACTTTTTCGCATCACACAAGTCATGTGATCAACCACCAGATGTTACTACTGGCAGAAAAAGACGAAGAAGAAGACAGGAAGTGTTTTTAACATCTTATCACGTGAACAATCTTATTGACGTGTGACTGTGATTGCATTTCTTCTTCAACAGAAACACTGTGATTGCAAAATTTAGTTTTTTCGACATTAGCGTAATATCGTCGACGTTTTGCTCAGAAACACAGCTAGTGTACGCTGCTGCCATTGATTGATTGGGAAAAGGCTGCATCGGGCCCCATAAAGACAATGTTTCACGGTGCATCCCGCCCCTCCCCATCTAATTCTGCCAGTCTTGCTAAAATGTAGCATTGCTCCAGAGAACAAGAGAGTTGAGTAGCTAAATGAAAGGCTATAGGTTGACTGTGCTTATGTACCAGGACCCCTCTCTGGGTTACGGCAAGAGGAACAGTCGCAGCAGCGTGTTCCGCATAGTGCCCAAGTTCAAGAAGGAGAAGGCCGCCAAGAAGACGAGCCCTCAGTCAGGTAGGGGCGCTCGCACCGTCACCTCTCTGAGCAGACGCACGTACCTACAGCTGCTCAGGAAGGGTCAAAGGTCAACTAGCCCGAAGCGTGGCGTGGTGCTTCGGAGGCCGCGTTGCTTCCTTTAGATAAGGACGTGCATGAAATCGACACGTAGAGGTGGAAATGCTTGATGACACAAACGGCGTGTGGTTGAGGTGTTACATCCCGAACCATCAACCTGCACCCTCACCCCTTCATTCATGCTCCCATCCGGGTTTGTGGAAGAGTGGAGGTGATCCGGTTGAAGCTCGTCAGGCTGGATTGGTTGTCCAGACGGGTGGGGGGGGGG